GCAGTAGTAGCAGTGGTAGCAGTGGTAGCAGTAGGCGCAGTAGTAGCAGTAGTAGTAGGCGTAGTAGGAGTAGGAGTAGGAGCAGGAGTAGGAGTAGGAGTAGGAGCAGTAGTAGGAGTAGTAGTAGTAGTAGTAGTAGTAGCAGAAGTAGTTGTAGTCGTAGTAGTGGTAGTAGTAGGAGGAGTAGTCGTAGTAGTGGTAGTAGTAGGAGGAGTAGTCGTAGTAGTTGTAGTAGTAGTAGTAGTAGTAGTAGTCGTCGTAGTGGAAGTAGTAGTGTTTTAGCATCCCTTACGTGTTGCACATCCTAAATACAAGGCAGAAAAGCCATCCAGAAAAGGCGGTTCCTAGTTCCCTGCAAAACACCAATGTACAAACAAACCGCACGTAGCCACCCGAAACCCAACAAGAATGCAAAGAAACCGCGACCAAAACCCGAAGAAAAGGCACACAGCTTAGGATCGGTAAAATTCCAAGACAAGCCAGGGTACGCATTACTTCAATTAGATCTGAGCATTAGTAGAAGCAGCCGGGAGAATCACATGCCACAAAATCGGCCAGATTCGAGACGCGTTAAAGATGACGCCCCAAAACTGGCGCGTGTCCTGAGTAAGCCCCGCAAAAAACACATCATAGCAAAGCTGTTTCCCCTTCAAAGCAGGAGCAGACAAAGCTGCAAGAGTCGGAAAAGTCCTTGTCCACAGCTTGGACCACAATGGCGCAACGTCGCCAAAATGCCGAAATTCGTATATCCAGGCTGCAGACTTAGTTTTCGTCTTATTTTTCGTTTGTTCGCAGATTGGCATAGTTAAGCAGCTGAGGTATGGTGCAGCACTCGGCCGTGTCGCAGTAACACTTGCGTTGATCCATTTCCCACCGCTTCGCAAACAGTGCGGAAGGCATTTAAATTCATGAAAAGGTTACACGTTCCACAAGGTGAAAATCCACGAATCCGTGCAGAAGCTGACAAAGCTGCGGAGCAAGAAGGGTCCTTGCTCTCGGAGCTGACAGAAGTGTCACAGCGCCTGGCGGATGTCAAGGATGCACATGTGTTGCCACACTTTCTGATGCAACTAGTGAAGGGGGGTGGTTCGCTCCAGGTAAGTCCCAGCTGTTCCGATTTGTTTTTGTGAAGAGGATGTCTTCTATGTCGTCACTTGCAATGGAAAGGTCAATCTCGGACTAACCGAAGCCCACCTGTGCAGTCAAACTGAATGTCTTGAATAGAAGATCTCGGGTATTCACGTCTCGCAAGGCGCACATGTCGGACCTTTTAACTTGAATCCGTGATCACAACAGGAGGCATTGGTGGAGAAGGAAGAGCTTTTGTGCATGGCGGTGCTTGCGGATGATCCCACCTGACCTAGAGTGCCTGCACGCAGACGGCGCTCAGCAAAGCTCAGTTGCTTGATGAAGCGACGAAGGTCTGTCAGCAGAGCCGCCGGGTGATTCGTTAATGTCTTGTCTGTGGACATCCCGAAGACTGGATCGACACAGCACCGTAGCATGTGTAGCATGCAGCAAGACCCTCAGGAAGCTCCGTGTTCAGTCGCTTAAGATGTGAAAAAGCCCTCGTTCTGCTGTAGTCTCAGTCTGTTAGCAACTTGCCACAAGTTTTGCGGAGTCATGTGCTGTGATTGTGCCTCGGTTGCGGCTCGAGCTGCAGCTGGCCTAGTCCCTCACCCCACCGATAGGAAAGCAGCTCACTGTATGTGGCATACGCATTGTGGCCAGGAGTTGTCCACCTTGCAGGCAATGGGCTCGGCGGTAGTAAAACTGACTGTTGTGTACGCACACGAAGGCACACGCACACGCACACGCACGGTGCAGCGGTGGGTAGTGGTTGGCATATGTGAGGCGCGAGTCTTCTCAGCACAGCTCCTCCATGCCAACGGTCAGCTGGGAGCTGCTGTCGATTCCGTGTTGTGTAGACCTTGGAGTCTGAGACGACGGTGACGGTAGAATATTGGATCTGGATTAGTCTGGGTGTCGCCATGTTTCGCCACTTTGTAGCCCAGGTCAGCACAAGTCTGCGAAGAGGATCCGCCTTTGCCTGGGGGTGAAGATGACCCGCCGACGTCTCAAATGAGGATCGTGCCATGATTCGCTGCATGATGAGGGTCCCGAAGCACCTGTTTTGGGGTGATCATCCTGGTTGTGGCGACCTAAAGCTGGGTTTCAGTATTTGTATAGTCTGCATAGGCGAGTAGTCATTCAGTGTTTGTGGGAGAAGCCAGCTGCTGTCCCTTGCATCAGGCGGGACCAGAAAACTGTTGAGGTGACAGAGGCATCTGCCCACTGCTGTTACGCAACTTTTGTGGGAGCTGTAGTGCTCCAGGATGCCTGGAGCGTGGTGTGTTCCGAGCGCATAGACACGCACAGCCCTTGGCCGCGCAGCTCTTGCTGGCAATCCTACATCCTGCTCTGATTCAGTTCCAGGTCGGGCTGTGTGCAATCATCGTCACGGCTGGCCTCTTCGCACCATGATCCCAGCAAGGTATGCGACGGGCGGTGTTATCCCAAACAGGGCTTTGTCTCGGTCTGACTCATTCCAGGAGGTGCGTCTCGATTGCCTGCCCGAGCTTCAGCCGAACGCACAGATGGGGCCTGAGAAAGAGTGTTGTCCTCTGGTCTCGATAGATACTCGCTTGCGTGAGGCCATGTCACCTGCATCGCCGTCACCGGCCAAGCTGCAAGCGTTGTGCTGCATTTCGTGGGCTTCCTGTTGGAACAGGCCTCAGCAAATACCGGAGATCGAGATGAAACTGACAAGCCATGATGATCCTCCCAGGTATTGCCGGCACTTCTCCTTCACCTTCGGCGAGCAGAGAGGCAGCTCTTTAGCATAATGACGACATGACGTCGCAAGCTGCATGGTCGTGTGGGTGTGCTCCAATCACTGTGTCGGGGCACTGGCATTTCGACACTAATAACATCTTCGGGTTTGTCTCGACTCAGTCATACACCGGTCTGACAGCAGAGTTTGACGTCACGGATATTACGGCGGCTTTGTTGCTATTTCCACTCCAATCTCAAGGCTGCACATCCTTTTCAGCCAGGTCGCTGCGCTTGACAGGGAGTGCTCGTCCGACACGTGCCTGGCACCGGAAGGCCGAAGAAGTTCTCTGTCGCAAGCTGCATATGGCTTTTTCTGTTTTGACTGGTTTTTCTCTGGGCCAGGCTTCAGCTCAAAACTACAGAGCCAAGTGCTGCAGTGCATAGCCCAAGCCAAATTGGAGCATTGCGCGCCGATCTGGGCTGCATGAATGAAGCACGGGTTGTCGCAGGTCCGCATATTTCCGCTACGTCTTGTTGTGCGTCAACGATGCGGCTGGTTTGCAGTCTCGTCACTAGCTGTGTGAAATTGGCACTCTGCTCTTGTGTGCACAGGTTGAGTCATTAGTGGACGAGCTGCAAAATCACGCCGATCACGCTGGCTACTCAATTCCCCGTCTGTGCTTCGTAACAACTGATATTGCTCCGGGGCGTATGCATTTTTGAGGCTGAGCCGTACACGCCTCATTCGCAGAATGATCCGTCTACGCTCTTCTGTTCCTGCGGCAGCAAATACAGTTGAGTTAAGCATGATACATTATGTCGTCATGGTTTGAAAGTTGAGCTTCTATCGTGCAAAGTTTGCGCTCCATGCTTGCGTCATGCGTCTGCAGGCTGCATTTATCGCTTGTCGCAGCTACAGCTGTGGCCTCGTCAGTCCATAGAGCAGAGAAACACGAATTGCAAGTCACACAGATCGAGGCCGTCCGAAGAACAGGTGCAGCAACTTGTGGGCTTCAAAGGGTCAGTCATGGTGCGTGCTGCCTGCGTCTCAGTCAGCACTTGTTGAAGGACTGTTACGCCATGCTGGGCTTAAGACTCTCAAGGCTGGCATGCTGCACATTCGTTTCAGCTGGCCGCTTTCTCCTCAGTCCTAACTGGCGCCGGCCTGAGCTTGAGTCCACGAGTCCAAAATGCCAGGGCTGGAGATGCCTGGACTTGGCTTCGAAGATTTCTCTTCGACAGGGAGTTCTTCAGGCTGGAACGTGAAGCCATTCCGCATGGCTGCTCTTGCTAGCCAGGCCTGGCTGCTCCGCATCTGCTGTGGCCTTTGCAGATTGGGATCAGTCTTTCATCTGCACATCGCGAGCCGATAAGGCAACAGTCACAATGGGCGACTGGGTCGGCCCACGACATTTGATTCCTTGCAGCCAAGACTTCCTCATTCCTAAACAAGATTCGACAGGTGGAAAGCCTTCTGCGACATGAGAAGCCACTCGGCTGTAGTGTCTTAAGGCGGGTCCGGAAGGGCGCATCCTCACAGTGGGCCGGGCGAGTCTGGAGTCTGCACACTTCGGATCTTCGACGGGAGAGCCTTCCTCGGACGCATCACCCACGAGATCTGCATCGGTGCTTGTGCGATTTTGCCACCCTGCATCGGAATTTTCGGCCCGGGCCAGTGTCCCGGTCATGTAATATGCATAGAAAATGCAAGTCTGAATTGTTGATCGTTTATTTGATGAGTTTTTGCATCAGCTGACCTCGACCAGCTGGAATCTAGAAATTCTCTGGTGACGCTCCTCTGACTCCTAATCCCGCACAAGCACATAAAAGTAACCTTGGTCTTGGTTGTGTCTTCCAAAGCCCGCTTCACTCGCACCTTTCAGCATGTTTGAGGAACGCCCTTCCAGCACGGCCGCAGTGCTTTTGCTACTGGGGGGCACGGCCGGAATTTCCTGAGTCAGGTTTTAACTTAGGCATTCGAAATTGCTCGAAGTCGGGGGGGGGGGGGTGCTCGCCTCCGTGGTTTCAAGAATACCTACTGACCTACTGCAAAGCCTGAATCCCATGCAATCAAAAGTGAAACATTTGTAGGTCCAGAACTGGACAGAAACTGGCAACACGTGCTTGTGGATGCTCGTCGGTGGCGTTTTCGAGGGTCAGATGAACTCCGAGGCCTCTGTGTACTGAGTATACTCTGTGTTGCGATGCACATGAACAAGGCATTGGAATGCTTGTGAGTGTTACTGTGGCATGCCGCGCTTCTGAAGCAGTGCTAGCCTGAGGCATCTTGAAGGTTCATGGCTCTCCGGCATAATTCTCCCAGCGCTAAGTGAGGGCTCGAACAGCAAACGACGTGAAACCAACAACTTTACACTGCTAGACACGGAGCTTCAGTCCTTGGTCCACCATGCATCTCCCTTGTACATCTCAGGGCAAGCGCTCATGCCCCTTCGTGAATGCTTCCACCCTTGTCAGCGGCCATATTCCCCTGTTCGACGCTCCCTGAAAGCATCCCGGGGCCCTCCAAGAAGAGTCAGTGCTCATTCCCCACATCGAGGGCTCAATCTGAACTTGCGAACCAATTAGTGCACGTATACATCTGCTGATTAAGGCGCTTTCGATATTTTGTTTTATTGCATGTTGCCTACCACCTTGTGCCCTAGCATGACAAGCTACGCGTCATGTCCATAAGAAGTTGGTTCGAGGACATACCGGCTTTCTCAATTCAGACATTGCATAAACGAGCACCCGGGCGAAAGACACCGATTTGGATGGCGGACAAGAGGAGTCTAGGTGAGGGCTGGGTCTGGAGGGCTTGTGCAGCACCGGTTCCTGATAAGGGAGAGTTCGCCCCTTTGATCGTTTCGGCCCAGGTATTACGACATTGTGCTCCCAAGATTGCCGGTGAGATCGGCTCCCAGATTCGTAGCAGCAGCACTGTTTTTCTTGTCAACAGGGCGGTAGCATGCAGGCCTCAAGCGAGAGATCGCCATGGAGCTTGTGCAGTTGCCAGAGCTGCGCGAGGCAGCCGGCCAGGGACTTTGATGATGGGGAGAGCTGGCGAGAGAGGGAGAGAGACCTAGACCCAGGATGATGTGCATCCAAAACAAAGGGGGAAACTGCCCCATAGACAGAGTGGCCCTACCAAGTCCCAATGACTCCGGGGAAGAAAGCATGCCGAAGAGTCGCTTGTACTTTCGAACATCTATGCTGTCTCTTGAGCGCGGCTCAGACTTTTTTGTCAAGGAGAACATACGCTCACCAAAGGATCTCTATCGCAGTTTTTATGGCTTTAGCCGATTGATGAGTTATGTTCGTATCTCACTTCCCGATGCCCGATAAAATTCGGGTGGGCTTGACGCCCGGGGACCTTGACCGGTCCTCATGCCCGGGAGAGAGAGAGAGAGAGAGAGAGAGCCCTGCAACACTTCTTCATACATGCATTCTTTCTCATTGTGGTTCGCAGTCTGCCTCCGCCTGCACGCATGCATGTAACATATTGCCACCTGCAACCGTCGGGGGCGCACTTGCGCGCGATGTAGGGGGGCTTCCCTCCTGCAGCAAAGCCCTGGCGAAAGGGAGGGAGAGAGAGAGAGAGA